ATATTACTAACCACTGAGTTAATCGAGAAGTTGGCAATATCTGAAGGAAGGATGTAGACTCTGGGAACCTCTAGAACCTTGTTCGGCAGGTGATAACTTTTAGACCATACCTTATGGGTAGTACCTTCGACCTCATGCTCGTGACGTTGAACCTATGAACCCTATGTTTGTGATCTTGTGTGTGATTGTTGCATCATGCATACATGCACCCATGAGCATCTCCTAAAGACATTTTGTTTAAAGGGACTTAAAAGTTGACTCTTTGTGAATATCTCGGGTACTTTTTGTCTATGGATTTTGGAAAAAGAAAGATCGGGAAATACAGTTTCAAAAATCCTAAGATAGATGAGTTGATAAGTATGATTCCTTAGATCGAGAGTCCTATAGATTTTTGGAGGAAGTATGGGTCCATCATTTCTCTTATGAAGCTCAGGGTGAAGGAGGGTATTCTCTCTACTTTGGTCCAATTCTATGATCCTATGTGTTGATGCTTTACTTTCCCTGATTATCAGTTGATGCCTACATTAGAGGATTATTCTTATCTGTTGGGTTTACCTATTACCGATTATGTTCCTTTTACTGGTTTAGAGGGTGAGCCAAAATCTCATGATATTTCTACTTTGATCCATCTGGGAAAGACTGAGGTTGAAGCCCACATGACTACCAAAGGAGGTATTTTATGATTACCAACTTAGTTCTTATTGGAGAAATATTTCTACTTAGCTAGGATGAAGAGCACGGTTGCTTTTGAGGCCATCTTTGCTCTGCTTGCTTATGGATTATTCTTATTTCCCAATGTAGACAAATTTGTGGATATCAATGCCATCAGGATCTTTATGATTGGGAACCCAGTCTCTACATTGTTGGGTGATGCTTATTACTTTATTCATCTTCGAGATTCTTATCATGGAGGGACGATCATTTGCTGCACGCCTTTGTTGTATCAGTGGTTTATTTTTCACTTACCTCAGACTGATGCTTTCTGGGATGTCAGAAAGGAACCTCGCTGGGCTCCAAAGATTATGGCCCTCACTCATTCAGATATTGTTTGGTATCATCAGGCATACTATGATGTAGAGATTATCAATAGTTATGGTAGTTTCCCCAATGTACCTCTTCTTGGTACAAAGGGAGGAATTAATTACAATCCTATTCTTGCATGACGACAACTTAGATATCCGATGAGGGATAAGCCAAATAGTATTCATGTGAGCGGTTTCTTCCTTAAAGGGGGAGAGATTCATAAGGAAGCTAAAGAGGAGATTGCGAAGGCTTGGCGTCATATTCACAGGAAGGGTAGAAAGGACTTGGGACCTAGAGGGGTTGTTTCTTTGGAACCTTATCTCCAGTGGGTTCAAGCAAGAGCCATCCAGTTGAAGATGTCGTATTCTCGTGAAGCACCCATGCTTGATATGTTTGTGAAGACCACTCCTCCCCTATTAGATAACATGGAAGAACTTCATCTCTCTTTAGTCAGGATATAACAAGAAAAATTAGCTTGGAAGAATAAGTGCCAGACTTTAGAGGTATCCTACCGAGCAGACCTGAAGGAGAAAGACGACTTGATTTAGATTCTTGAGAGTCGTGCTATAGAGACAATGGAGATGCAAGAGGATTTATTTTCATCTAGAGCTTAGTCAGGACCTAGTTGCTCGCTTCCCGGCTCAGGTGCCAACAAGTATGCAGAAGAGAACAAGCGGATGAAGGCTCAAATTGCAAGACTCGCAGGGAAATGTCAGTGTGTGGAGTGATCTTCATCAACTTTGATTTCTTAAGACCTTAGATTTTTATCTTATCTTGTACTTGGGATTATTGAAACTTATACTAAAAAAAGTTGTAATCCATTTTGAAGTTATTATAATGAGATTTTCAGTATTTCAAATGTGTTAGTACTTTAATATTTACAAATTGTCTATAAATCTTTAAGTTCCTTGAAATATTAATAATAAAATAAATCATGTGCATTACATATCATGAATTATATTATTCATACTTCTTCCATTTCTATTCATATCCATGTGTCTTACTGAGCTTCTTTACTTTGTTCAGCAAGTTGTCTCACCAGTACAACACTCGAGCTAATTTCAGAAGGAAGATGGACAATCTAGAATAAGAGAATCGCGAGCTTCGCGAAGAATTTTCTGCTCTAAAGACCGGTATGGCCAATCTCACTGCTCTAATGGAATCTTTGGTGGATGCTTAGAATCAGCCACCAATTTCTCAACCTCAACAGACAATGGTTGCTACTAAAGTTCTGACTGTTCCTATTTCTACTACTCCACCTGCTGTTGTTCAAAATCGTATGCCTCCGGGATACCCTTGGGGAATGCCAGAGAAATTTATGCCAGAAGGTTATAATCAGGATGCTCAAGTTGCTCCACTTGCTCAGACAATTGTTGTTCCCACACCTCCTGTGGTGCATATCAGCCATGCTACTAGAAATGAAACTCACTATGCTGCACCTCCCTCGGTGAATATGGTATCGTTTACTAATGTTGAAGTGTATCGCCCTATTCCTGCACCAAGTGAAATCTTGGGTTTCTATGATTGAATGGACGATTTTTAAGACCAGTTTGATAAGATGTAGAAAGATTTTAAGGCCCTCGGAGGAAAAGAGCTGTTTGGGCAGAATGTGAATAATATGTGTCTGGTGCCAAATGTGAATATACCTGCAAAGTTCAAAGTGCCGGAGTTTGAAAAGTACAAGGGTAACACTTGCCCTCGTGCTCACTTAGTAATGTATGTAAGGAGAATGTCTACCCATACAAATGATCAACACCTATTAATTCATTTCTTCCAAGACAGTTTGACTGGTGCAGCGTCGAAATGGTACATGAGCTTGGACAATGCCAATATTCATTCTTTCGACGATTTGGGTGAAGCGTTTATCAGACAGTACAAATACAATGTGGACATGGCACCTTTCCGTGATCAACTCAGGGTCATGGACCAGAAGGACAAGGAGTCATTTAAGGAATATGCACAGAGATGGCGTGAAGTAGCCGCCCAGGTGATTCCAATGGAAGAAAAAGAGATGACAAAGATTTTTCTGAAGACACTAGGTGCATTCTATAATGAAAGAATGGTGGCGAGTGCACCCAGTGATTTTACCTAAATGGTGGGAATGGGCGTTGAAACAACCGGCTGAATAATCAACTGATAATGAAATCAATGAAGTCGCCATCAAATGTCTTTTATCCCACAAGAAGGTAAAGGTAAACATCGAGTAAACCTGAGAAGGGTGAAATCAAGGTCGAACGACCAAGAGATCGGGTAAGGGAGCCTATTACGCGAGGGGAAGGTATTATCACCCCATACGTCTGTAGTACTCTACGGTATCCACTCATGTTGTTCTAATCTAAGGGTGTGTGAGAATCTATATCTAAATTGTACAAGGCATGCATGTAAAATAAAGGAGAAAAGAATGTAGGGGAAACAAAAGTTGTGCTCGCCCGGGCCCTACCCCAATGGCTACGTATCCCTTTTAAGCAATCAGAGCAGCCGTAGTTCGACTTCAAAAGTTTTTATTGGTTTGTATTTTTTAATGAACAATATTAATTTCGCCTTCTGCCGCAACTCGACCTTTGGAGACTTACGTGTCAGCACAGAAGTGAATTAACATGTTCTTTTTGAAAAGTTTGAAAGAAAAGCCCGAAGGCGCAAAAAGAGTTTGCATTGGTTGATATTTTTTACCTTGAAGAAGGATTTGGAAGTTGTTATTTTTTATCTCAAATATTTTTATCTCAAATATAATCGGATAATCGGGATTAAATTCCTAAAACCTCAAATATAAACTACCAAAATTTATATTTGAATTTATTATTTTTATCATGTAAAGAAAATTCAAACAAGTCTAAATAATTAACAAAATTAGTTAAAAGAAAATACTAAAAGAATAAATCCAGGGGGTGCAATCTGTTGACCACAGGGCATAATCCAGCAATTCATAATGAAGTGCTAAGCCCAATTTAGAAATAGGTCCAACAAACAGTGATTTTTGTCCATAAGTTTCAGATTGCCAAAAACTGTAGAAATAGGCTCAGAGACTTTTGGTCTAGCAAGAGTTATTTTCAAGCATTTTGTCTTTTTGTCAATTGGCTCCCAATACAAAAAACACAATGGTAGCGTGGGCCTAAGTGTAATCCAGCAAAATTGGTCCAAATCCAATTACACAAAATCTAAGATTATTTAGCTTATTGATTATTCCAATCAAAAAATGAAGAAAAAAAAATCAACTAAAACGTGAAACAGCATCGCTCTGATCCAGATTGTGGCCATACAACTTCATTGTACCCAACCTCCTTTATTCCCATATTTGATCTTTCTCGTGATTTCGGCGAGCCAACTCCGTCGTCACCAATCCCTCAGTATTAACTCTCTCAACAAGAATCCCACCTACCATCTCCACCAAATTTCAATTCACTCGTTATAAATCTACCAGAAACACATAAACCCTAAGTCTAGGAGAATGAAAAATTAAATGACGATGAAGGAACTTCTGGCTATGCCTCCATAGGGTTATTAATCTACCTGATCTTCTCTACGTACTCATATCAAGAAACCACAAAGAAGACGAAGACAAGTGAGGATTCAGATCTTACCGACCGAAGACGCTCCGACACTGTTTCGTGATTGTTGCTAATTAAAATAGGAATCCAGAGATCCTTCAAGAGACAAATTGGGTAAACTCTTCTCTTCTGACATCTTTCTCTTTCTTCTTCTTCGTCTATTTCTTCTCGTTCTTTGTGTGATATTCTGTGTTGATCTCTTATGCACACTGATGTCGTTATTCTTGTGATGCAGAGAATAGAGGAACCAATGCAAATTCTGGAGTAAAAGATGAGGATGATTCGGGAGAATACCGTAGAAGAAATCTAGAGACTTAGAAGCAGAGAGAAGAGGGAACTTGTGTGATTCTGCATATGGTGAAGAATTGTGGAAGGTTGAAGAAAGGTTGAGAAAATCTGAAGATGATGATTCAGAAATTTGGGGAATGAAAAATGATCGTGGACCAAGAGACAATTTCAGAGGGTTTTGTGGTATGTTTTTTTGTATTTTTTCTCTCTATGAATCTATTATGGTTTGTGAATAATCCACCCCCCTCCTCCGTTACCACTTCTATTATAACCTTTTTGTAGTTCTTCTTGAATTATGTTTTGTTGTCGTTAGTATGGTTAGAAGTTAGTTAGAGTTAGTTAGGGGTGAGGGTTAGTTACAGAGTGAAAGTTGGTTAGCTGCTATTGGAAATTCTATTTAGGTTGGTTCTGAGGTTTGTTACAAAAATTCTGTTAATTAGAGATTGGTAAATCCGAGTGGTTGAATCAGATAGCTTCCTGAGATTTGTAAGGCTGGGATTGATTCCAATTGATCTGATGAAAGCTTGCTGAGTTGTTATTTTTGTTTCCACAATTTCTTGATTTATTCTTCTGCTGATATATTTTTCTGATAGATGTAGCATCATCAAGCCTCAAATGAGGGTACCTTTGTTCCCGACTCAATTAAGCGAAAAGATCAAGATTTTGAGTATAGATGCGATCATTTGTTCTTTGACATGATTGAGAATGTAATCTTGCCAAGACATGCATTTTACCAGAAAGCTCAACCCAGCCTCCATGTTCTCCTGTCCAGAATCCAGCCCTTCCACATGACATATTTGGAGGGAAGAATTAGATGCAGAAGTCAAAACCTGAAGTTCCTAGACTCCCATTTTGTATGGTATCATAGGTGAGCTTTGGATGATTGCATAACTTTTTAGATCTCAAAATATTTGTTTGCTTCACCTCTCATGACGTTCTCTTAATAACTTTGGAATGTATAAAATGTTTATACAAATCTGATTGTAGCAGAGTCAACTTGCAGCAGACAACTTCAACTATCTTCGATGGTTAAATGATCTAATAACAACGCATTTGTATGCCTTAGTATGAACTGATTAACTTCGGAACTTAGTTTTGCAGTACGTTCGGAACCGAGTTTCTTCCCTTCTGCAGTAGCAGTAGGTTCTATTCCAAATTATTGGAGCCTCAAAATAACATCGAAAATATGCGATAGGTCCTAATACTGCGGGATTAATGAAGTTATCCACTTCAAAGAATTTTTCTGAGTCATTCTGCAAAGGATTTCCTAACAACAAAACCCTATGCATGTGTGGGATAGTAGCCAATGCTCAATTTGTTACTGTTTGATCATTTTTCAGTCTGTGAGCTTCATCCAAGATGAGAAGATCACCGGAGCCAGTATCACTAAACTTGGATGAATGCATTAGGAATGTCTCATATGAAACATGAGCACTTGCAAATTGATTTTGTACTGAGACTTTGAATTCCCATTCTTTTAGATTTTCTTAATGTAGTTTTGTAATGGCATAGACACAGTTTGATTATCTTTGCCATGGATTGAAACAGATATGAACTGGTTTAACTACTTTGCTTCATGATTAATTTGGAAACCAGTTTGTCTACACGTAAATTGTTGTTATGTGAAACTGTTTGGTTAATTTACAGGGTATAGCTTACAATTAGAAGAAGGCTTAAAATTGGAGTTCAAGGAAAAATAAGAAGATGGCATGAGAGGTTGAATATGGCATGAAGAAATACTGAGGAAAAACAGTTGGTAATTTGGGCTAAGTTAAAGAGAATTTTGAAGATGGATACTTGGCACGAACATGGAAGCATGAAGATGTTAGGATATTAGGATTTTAGGCTTAGAACAAAAGTTTGTGTAATTGTGAATGTAATTGGATGGAACTTAGATGTTGTATGTATTTGAAATTCAACATTGTGCTCTGAACTTGAATGAGCTACCATGTTTTGAAATGTTTTTTTTTATTTTTATGGTGGAGAATTTGATTTCAAATTTGAATTACTTTCCCTCCATTATGCTTGTGACTTGAATGAAACAATCATAAATTTAAATGGAACTTTGGCCAAAATCTAACTTTCCCAAATTGATGTTGAACTTTATCCTGGGACGCCTCACTTCAAAGCTTGAACCCAATTTAATATCTCACAAAGAATTGAGTCCAAATCTATTTATATGTCATGCCTAGATTTGAATAATGGGAGGTGAATTAAGTGAGTTTGAAGATGGAAAATTAAACTACATGAATCTTCCGATCTTATCTTGAATCAACTATTGACAAATCATGAAATCTAGATCTTGAACCGATATTAACCTTGAGCACAATTAGACATTTTAATTAATCCAAATTAACATCTCATTTCTCTCGAAATCCTAGTTAACTGGTAATTAAAGTAACAAGGGTTTGAAAGAATGATGACGTTTTAAACTCCATGACCTCACAACTTTATCTTTTGTACCATGGCTTCCATTTTGCAATCTAATCCACACTATGTCCTGACTCTATGGATAACAACCATGTCTTGAGGGCGCCTTGAAGTATAGAAAGAAACATAATACGGAGCTAAATGAACCTCGGTCGGTAGATATTACAAATTCACACATAGAAGATGTGATACCCTAATCTACTTATGTTTGATGAATTCTTGATGGAGGATGACCTTGTAGATTGATGAAGAAAAGATCCACAACATCCATGAACACAAACCCTAAATCCATAATTTCACTGCCTTGAAAAAATAACCAGAAGAATCAAGCTTTATTGAACATATACACCTCTGTCAGTTGTAAAAACCCTAGCTTGCACGCCCACTGAACTCTTGAACTTCAGGCGCTTATTTTTTTGAATGAAAATGCAAGCTATGTTAGTAACCTAATGAAAAGACATGAATGCGATGTTAAGCCTAAGCCAAATATAAATGTAATTAGGAGGGAAAATTTTGGGGTGCAACAACTGCCCCTATTTAATCATCTTAAACCTAAAGGTGAGATTGGCGCCAGCCTTTCGAACTTTCTAGGTGAAAGAAGATTAAATACTAAAAGAACCCAAAAATTTATACTCCGGAGCCAGTCAGGCATTACTATATTTTTGTTTTCTGTATTCTCTATTTTTTACTTTTTTGGATCGAAATAGTTATCGGGGATAAATGTATGTCAAACCAGGGTTAAACATACAAAAGATAACTTGGTTATCGAGGAATATATGTTCGGAGTTGGTAGAGAACACATGACAAGAAAGATATCAAAAGATATATGCCTGAGGTCAGTAGCAGACATACGAAAAAGGTATCAAAGATACATATCCAGGGTCGGTAGCGGATACATACAAAAGAGACAGACTGAAGAAAGCTCTTACAAAGATATCAAGAGTACATGTCTGGGGTTGGTAGCAGACACATAACAGGAAAGAGACTAGAGGAAAGGACCCTAACCAAGGATATCAGGAATATACATCCAGAGGAAAGGACATATATAAGGAAAGAGGCCGGAGGAAAGGACTCTAACCAAGGATATCAGGAAAATATGTCCGGAGGAAAGGATATATAACCAAGGATATCAAGAAAATATGTACGGAGGAAAGGATATATATATATATATATATATATATATATATATATATATATATATATATATATATATATATATATATATATATATATATATATATATATATATATATATATATATATATATATATATATATATATATATATATATATATATATATATATATATATATATATATATATATATATATATATATATATATATATATATATATATATATATATATATATATATATATATATATATATATATAAGGAAAGAGGCCGAAGGAAAGGACTCTAACCAAGGATATCAGGAAAAATATGTACAGAGGAAAGGACATATATAAGGAAAGAGGCCGGAGGAAAGGAATCTAACCAAGGATATCAAAAATATACGTCCGGAGGAAAGGACATATAACCAAGGATATCAAGAAAATATGTCCGGAGGAAAGGACATATATAAGGAAAGAGGCCGGAGGAAAGGACTCTAACCAAGGATATCAGGAAAATATGTCCGGATGAAAGGACATATATAAGGAAATAGGCCAGAGGAAAGGACTCTAATCAAAGATATCAGGAAAATATGTCCGGAGGAAAGGACATATAACCAAGGATATCAAGAAAATACGCCTGGAGGAAAGGACATATATAAGGAAAGAGTCCAGAGGAAAGGACTCTAACCAAAGATATCAGGAAAATATGTCTGGGGGAAAGGACATATAACTAAGGATATCAAGAAAATATGTCCAGAGGAAAGGACATATATAAGGAAAGAGGCCGGAGGAAAGGACTCTAACCAAAGATATCAGGAAAATATGTCCGGAGGAAAGGACATATAACCAAGGATAGCAAGAAAATATGTCTGGAGGAAAGGACATATATAAAGAAAGAGGCCAGAGGAAAGGACTCTAACCAAGGATATCTGGAATATACGTCCGGAGGAAAGGACATATAACCAAGGATATCAACAAAAAATATGTCTGGAGGAAAGGACATATATAAGGAAAGAGGCCGGAGGAAGGGACTCTAACCAAGGATATCAGGAATATACGTCCGGAGGAAAGGACATATAACCAAGGATATCAAAAAAAATATGTCCGGAGGAAAGGACATATATAAGGAAAGAGGTCGGAGGAAAGGACTCTAACCAAGGATATCGGGAAAATATGTCTGGAGGAAAGGATATATAACCAAGGATATCAAAAAACGAATGCTAAACACATATAGACTTCTAGATAATGAACCCTGATTGAAGGCGAGCTTTAACCAACAAAAAGGAGGGACACTAGGCAAAGGCAAATTTTCCAGATAAAAGAAGACCAACCGAAGGTAGACTTTTTGGGGGGAGAATGCTGACCATAGACGGACTTTCTGGGGATACTACGCGACAGATTCCATTGAGAAAACTGGACGAAGGTTTTAACCAAAGTAAATTCATAGAGATCTCCGCATCAAAGACAGACTTTACAGGAGAAGGAAACCAGCCGAGGGGTACTCTGACAAGAATACCAATTGAAGACGGATTTAAGGGAAAAGAACTTACTGAGGATTAACATATGTCTTGATCCAAACAGAACGCTGGTCAAAGGCGGACTTGTGTCAAAAAAGAGAGACCAACTGTAGGGAATCTAAACACGGATTGCCAACACATGTTGGACTTTAAGAGTTGCAAATACGCAAGAGCTACAAAATCCCTCAGACCAAAGGTGGACTATATTTCTTCAAGAGTGGCAATTATCTAAATTACCACACACCAAGTATGGATACTCAAATACTTGAGAAGCAATAAAGGCCAAACACCGACCCTTACCCATATTCTTATGGCAAAGGCAAACACAGGTAATATAACCAAGGGCTTGCAAGGGAAAGAGAGACACATAACTTACTGGGAAAATGGAAGATACCAAAGACCCGACTGGTGATAAATAAAACAGACACTACTGGGGAAACAAAACAGAGTCACCCTAGACTTGTTGTGGAGTTAATTCCAATCTGAGTGCATAACAATCTGGTTACTACAGATGAACATGATTGGCTTATACTCATGCATGTTTGAATTTATTTTTATAGCGTAATACCCCATACAATAGGAATGCTACACATTTTGGTAGATGTAATGTAATGATGCATGTTTAGTAATGCACTGGGGAAAACACGCCAATAATCGGCTGTTGAGAAGACAATGAACTTCTGAACGATTATTCTTGCATATCTGATCTTCTTTAGAGAAAAAGAAATCTGAACTTCAATGGGGCACCAAGACTCCGAACCACCAACCTCTAAAGATCGATATCACTGGGGAAGTAACTTCCTGGAGAACAACATTGCAAAAATAAATTACAGTTCAGAGAAAATATTGAGTTCTGATCAAACTCCCAACTTCCTGGGGAACAAATTATTTATCTTCTGTTAGAAAGAAGAGAGCTTCGCTGGGGATGTAAACTTTCTCGTGTAGAAATTCTTAACGAAGATAGCTTCTACTAGGGAGTATGGAAATTCTTAAATAGAAATAATTCTACTCATACCACACTGGGGATAACACCGTCTGGGTACAAAATCTTCACTTGAGGAAGAAACCAACATCATGGGACAAAAACTCCATTGGGGATATATCAACAAAATCTTCTATCACTAGGGATGAAAGAGTTATGACCGACATTCCCATATAAACCACACTGGGGAGATAGGACACTTGATCCACTAAGGAAAGAAGAATAGCTCCACTTGGGAATAATAG